AGAACTATGTCATCTTCTGAGATGCTCTCATCCAGTTGGTCAAAATGGGGACTCTCGGAAGTGGAGGTGGCTGGTGGGACCATAGTATGGCTTGCAAATGAGGTAGCTGTGGAAGGATTTGCTCCCTCCCTGTAAACTGTGTTAAGACTGGGTTTGGGTTCCTGCTTCAAATGAATTCCTGAGTAATCAGATGCACCATTTCCTTCACTGTCAAAATCATATGAGAGATCCTCATGAAACTTTATGAAGTTATAATCATAGTAAAAGTCATCAACTAGAACATTGTTTTTGATTGACTTGTCCGCTTCAATTTGATTGTGATATGAGAAGTCGCCCTCGATTATGCTGTTGAGAGTATTGTCTTCTCGCAGCTGAACTCTAGTTGTTTCCTTGGCCGATTTCAGTAAGTGGTTGTCTTCAAGTATCGAGTTTATCTCGTTGAAAACTTCTCTGCTTGACGAGCCACTTCCAGACCAGTCACTGTCCGTGTTTGTGGGGCAGTCTTGAATGTTGCATGGCTTTTCAGAAGCAGGCTTGGCTTGAGGATCGCAGTCAACCATGGTGTTCCAGCTGCACATCACCTCACGTGTCTGCACACCACTTGAGCAGCTCAGAGAACACTGCAGATCACAGACACACTGAGAACAATGAACTAACAGCCTGTATGTTACACTTTATCAAGCCATTTTGGGACTAATACCATTTCACTCATGAAGGATCTAAAGTTATTTCCTATTTAAAACAGCTTTTTGACCCGAGTAAATTCATTTGTGCAAGTTCACAGGAAGCGAAGCATACAGCTAAATGTCACTCATTACTGTAAAAGAGTGTCAGTAAAACAGTGGGTGCTTTGTAAGATTTGTGCTTCAGGGTGATTCCTTAAATTGCAGTCAGATTGTTTCTCTCAAACGGATCCTTTTCTGAATGAAATACATCGACATTTCAGTTGTAAAAGTGCAACTTGGCCATTAAAAAATACTTTAAAAGTTGCTTTAAAAAGAGAAAAGTGTATTTTGACCTCGTTACATTAGCCTATGTTCATACCTTTTTTATTCAAATTAATTTGATTTTATGTGAATAGTGTTTTTTAGCAATATACTTAGTCACAAATCAACTTTACAAAAATCTAGATGTAGAAATCCTGACAGTGGCAAGGAATGCTTCTTGAGACAGCATGAAGAAGAAACCTTGAGAGAAACCAGACTTGAAAGGGAACCCATCATTTTCTGGGTGACACAAGACAGGAGGGATTGGACAACGGTTGTAGGGAACAAAGGCTAACAGTATGAACTGTGTTTAAAGGAAACAGAATATTCAGTGTGATCATAATCATCATTCATTATTTAGATACTTTTCTCTTTATCTAAATACCAAAGGTCATTCTATGGGCATATAGCATACTATGTGGGTAAAAAAATGCCATTATGTTATACCATGTGTAGAGAACATAAATAGTTCATATAAAGCCATTTGCGATTCAGCCTAACTGTGTTTGATGATGATGTTAATAAAAATATATGTTTCTGCATGCTATATGGTTGAACAATTATTCACTAACATATTCTCAACACTAACATAACCCCCCCCCATGTTCTCCTTAATTTGGTGTCTTGGCCAATTCCCATCTATTAACATGGCTAACACAAGCTTCCAAAGACAGGTGAAGCCAGCCAACCACATCTTTTCGAACTGCTTCTCATGCTGCGTCACAGAGCAGTGTAACAGCCTTAAAGGAAAGTGCTATCTTCCCTCTTCCTCATACACGATTTCACAAATGCCCATTATTGGCTAATTTCGATTAGCCAGCCAAGACAGCATGGCCAATTTACCTCTCCTGGAATCCCGGCTGTGGCATTGTCTCAATCTCCAAATGACATGAAGAACACTTTACTGATGCCCCACTCAAGAACCCCATCTGATTAACACACTTAGCGTAGAACAAAAACCCAATCTAATTCCAGAAAACCTATTGGGCTGCCCCCTACACCAGATGAAATCTTACCTCTGACCAGTTTCCTGCAGTCCAGTCAGCAGGGCAGGAAATGTGTGTGTTGCAATGGGAGATTGACTCAGGCCTAGGCAAGTGCTGGCATTCAGACGGCAAAAGGGCTTCGTGTTTTTCCAGCCCTAAACTCCGAATACACACCACTGTTCTCTTAGTCAGGCCTGATCCCCCACAGCTTGTTGAGCACTTCTGCCATTCTCCAGCCCACCATCTGCAGAATATCGGAGCAGTTCAAACCCTGTTGAGCTCATGATTGGAATTTTGTCAGCTCAAGATGCTCATCTGCTCATCTTTATACTTGGTTTTCATCATGCTATGATATTATACACTCCAATTGTATTCTCCAGAATTATTAGCATCCTTCACGAAAAATTAGCAAAAATGAAAAGAACACGCAATTAGTGATATTTTGGGCATAAACATATAGGGTTGGGTTACTGTATACTTTTATTTTAACACAATATTTATTTTCATAATTAGCGCAATTTTTTCTACAAAACACTGGTTTGAAAATTATTGGCACCCCAAAATTAGTATTTGGTGAAGCTTTTCCTGGAGGGAATGCCAGCACCAAAATTCTTCCTGCATTGTCTGGCATTACTCCATTTTATATATCGAAAGGGATAGTTACATGTTACATATTAGGTCAATTCTTTTCAAGGATAACTTTGAATAATTTTGCCATGTTTTAAAAAGAAAACAGTAAAAATATTTAAAAATTACTTTGTTAATAAGTTTTGTAAGAAAAGCTATGTAGTTTCCAACTTCAACTGAGTGCAAAATTTGAATCATTGTGCAATGAATATTTGTCCCTGGGGGAGTGCCAATACTTTTGGACTTTTAAAAAAAAAATTTTTTTTAAACCTATTTAAAGACACTGTTAGAAGATCAGAGAATGAACAAAGGTACAATCTGTAGATATTAGTGTACTCACGTGGCCGGACATAATCCAGCATTGCAGTTTACTCGATTGTCGTCTGGCCGAGTGGATGGGTCACAGTAATGCTCCTCCACAATTCCAATCGTCCGCTCCACACAATGCATAACCTGTCTCTTGACACCTGGAACAAAGCAAAATTTTCTGCAGTGTGAACAGCAGTAAATAAAGGCAGGTTGGTTTCATAAATACAGTTAGTCTACATAGTCTGGTAAATCATATTCTGAATCCCCAATCAAGCATGAGGTAATGAGTAATGTTGCATTAATCAGCAGTAGAGCTGTAAGGTCTATACCCTAAAGACAAGTACATTCTGAAGAATCTAGCCAAGATGTGAGGACCATAAGAATCTCTTGAATATCATGAGCTCTAGTGTCAGCATTTATTGGTGTGATTTGTACCATGACTTAAAGGAAGGAAAGCAATGTCCATGAGGTCATAAGGAACACTTTAAAACAACCTCAGAAACCACCTGAAGAAATGTAACATCAATCTGGAAATAAGTTGACTATAGCCTGGAAGAAATCCATCCAAGAGGGAGCCACGTTACATGAACAAGACCTCCACATGGAAGAAGTGGCTGCTCCACTACATCAACCACTTGTACCTATACACATTGCTCCAGGACATGTGAGTCACAGATCAGCCACTATTGTAACCTGCATACTCACCAATAGTTGACCCTATGGAGGACCGTTCTACTCGACTTGTGTGATGAACAGTGAAACTCATCTGGCTAGTGAATTAAACAGTGAGTTAAAGAATGCAGCACCAAATTTCAATCCAATTCCAGCAGAAGCCAACCTCCTCCTACATTAAAATACAGCTGAATGCTGCCATGTCTCATAATTCATCTCACAGAAAAAATTACTTAGGCAGAAATGAGACAGGTAAACTGTCAACAGAGAGTCTGAAAGAACTTAAGAGCAAATTCAAGACTAGAAAAATCATAATGCAGTCAACAGAAAGCACAAGACTGTTGCTAGGTACATAAACAATGTCAAAACAAAACTTTACAAAATTGTCCAATCTGGTGTTGCTAAAAGTCCTAGATTTTCAAAAAGGGATTTTTTGATAACATTTCTGAAAGGAAATTTTTCTGTTATAGGGTTATATAATATACACTATATAGCAAAAGTATGTGGACACCTGACCATGTGGTTCTTCCCCAAACTGTTGCCACAATGTTGGAAGCACACAATTATCTAGAATCTTTCTGTGTACTGTAGTATTACAATTTCCCTTCACTTGAAGCAAGGGGCCCAAACCTGGGTTTCCTGTGAATTCTCTGGTTTCATCTGGATTCTCCGGAATGAACATGGTCAAGAAGTGGCTACTTTTACAGGAAGAGGCCTTTCAACTGAAACTTCCAATGAACAACAGCAGACTTTTTCCCCATAATCCATAGGCAAGTGTATGGAAATTCTGTATTAAATATATGAATTTCATGAATTCATGCTTTAAAAGCTCACTGAGTGAGTGTTCACAACCTTGAAAATCAAAAATGGATTAGGGGCAGAGCATCTGAGGCTAATATTAGATTACACATAGAACCTCTATGGATTCTCCCTAAGAGACAAACTATAGAACACCGTTTTGGTGCTAGATTTAACCATTTTTCAAAGAATACTGATGCTAGCATTCTTAGAATGGAATAAAGTGAGTCTGTATGATTCATTAAACGCTCCATAACCTATTATTGACTTACTGAAGAAATACAAAAGAAGTAAGTAATTTCCCCCCCCCCCAGCAACTCATAAAGTGTCCATAGACTGCAGAAAAAAGAGTGATTAAGAGTGATGTCATGAACAGGAAAATGGCCTTTTCCCAAAGGCTAGAAGATGATAAGATAATGGGTTTTCACCTCCAGTTTCTGACAAGCTCACAGTCTAGTCTCTCTTCTTCTTCTTTCAGCTGCTCCCATTAGGGGTCGCCACAGCAGATTATTGGTCTGCATATTTGATTTGGCACAGTTTTTAAATCTTTACCCTTTTCCAATTTTGGGCTCGGAACCAGCCCGGGGAGTGCACTGTTGCGTGCAACACAAAAGTATGTTGGTTCCCTGGCCAGGAATTGAACCCAGGCTGCAGGGGTGAGAGCACCATGGTCTAACCACTAGTCCTCCAGGGACCCCTACAGAGTTTACCATATCTTGTTCCTCAACGAGGTGATGTAGAACCAGGAAAACATCAAAGTGCGCAATGTTGGACCGAAAACTATCATACATGTCTTTGTATATTTAGAGGGTAAAGGTTTGTAGCATCTAATATATACAGACACAAAACACATCACTATAAAATACTAGTATGCCAACTTCTACCAAATATGGTTTTGCAAAGTGCTTAAAAAACTTATTACTTATGATATCTCAACTCTATAACAGTACAGCTGTGACAGTAGTACTGGTTGTAATCCAAATGACAGGTTTGCACTTGTTCCTTAACATTATCGTTTCTACAGTAACAATAGATTCACAGGGACATGTATGGCAGACGATCTACAAAATTTAAGGTTAATTATAAACAAATTTAAAAATGTGTTGTCATTTAACAAAGAAAAAAGTTTAATCATTGATATGGGGAAGCTTTTGAATAGAGAGGTTTATTTAACATTTATGGAAGGAGTCTCCAGTGTCAGTGTTTTTTGTAATAGTCAGTAAGTTTCATAATTAACTTGTTTCACAGACATTCTGCAACATTAAATGTAACTACAAATAGATAATTTCTATATTCTATATAATTTCAATATAGATACATGTGAAAGCACAACATGTGAAAATACAATCTAGGACACACTCTTGTATTACAGGAGCAGCTTAAAAGAGAAGTCATTTATGCAGCCAGTAAAGAATAGGTAAAGAATAAAACACTTCGGGACATGCTGTTATAGTCAAATAATCAATGATATGATTATTTCATATGTTAACCACCCCCAAATTGATTATTTTCCTACATCAACACATCCAAAACCCATCCTCCTCTTAGCACAGACATTTCCTAACACTAACAGTTGTTTATTTACTTTATTTACTTTTTATCCATTTATAGATATGTGTCTCAGGTACGTTGTAACAACTATAAATGGTCACTCCGTCAGCATCTACTCTTTTTTTCGCTTGAAGTTAATGAGATAAAAAATGGAGCTTTGGATACCAAGAAACTGTGTCACAGCTGCCGTTATGGAACATTAATCAGCAACATTAATCAATCGAGTCTCATATGGACTTTTTTGTATTATAAATAATAGATTATTTCATGGAAAGTGTTTTACGAGAAGGTTATAGGGCTGTTATATACTGTTGCTCCATGTGAGTCTGGGCTTTATGTGTCATTCTCGGCAGGCTAAGTGGGAATACCATGAATTTTCATTGGGTCATATAATGTATGTACACCATAGTTTCTAATAAATGCACCTCAGAATCTCACGTACCCCATGAGTTTCCATGACGACGGATTAATTCACATTGATAACCCATTGAGAATCCCAAGGAAATCTTCCATAATTATCATATTTCTGAGGACAGTGAACCAATGATTAGTACTTTTTCATTTTTATCCGGTCCACAAGAACATGTCCCTATAGCGCCATTAATCAGACTAGAGAAGTGGCCATATTCTTCATTATTTCTTGTGCAGTAAGGTCAGACTTAATAAGTTCAGCACACTACTAATGAGGAGATTTATCCAGTAGGGAATTACTGAATTATAGATAACAGAAAGTGAATATATAAAGAACAAAAGGCTATATATGAAGAAAGGCTATGAAGTGAGAGAAGCGAGACAAGCTCTGATGATTTTAGTATCAAGTTTTATAAGATACTAATTGGGCAATCATAGCATTTTACCACCTAGCTACATTATTCTTGGAGTGATTTTTCAGTGAAAAATTAGAGAGGCAAAATTTTGACACCAAACTTTTTCGTAACAGATCAAATACATAACATCATAAGTTTCACAGCTTGTGGTGTGAAGATGATCCGCTGTTGAAGCAAGTGTCGATGGCTCTTACGAAATATCAAACATGATTACTTGTTATATTACTTATATGATTGCTAAGACACATGCCAAGAGGCAAACTCAACACATCTTTGTACTAGCTGTACCACTTTAAACCTCTTTTGCAGATGCACTTGACACATGAGGCCACTCCAACACTTGACACATGAGGCCACTGGTGTGTGTGTAAAAAAAAGTAGCTGAAGGACCTGACTAATGGCTGACTATAACAGCAGTAGTCTTTGAAAATACTACAGTAGAAAATAGCATGCTGTTTCAGCTACTAATTAAAGCTCAAGCCACAGTGTAGATAGACAAAAGTGCAATTTGCTTAAAAATATTCCCCAGAGATTAATTTGTACTTTTATTTTAAGTATTATTAAGTTTTTCATTTTTTTAACAGTTGATGTTAGAAGTGAGAAATAAACCATGATAGGGCATGCTGTTATAGGGAAGTAATTAATGGCAGGGTGGTGTGATATGGCCACAAATTCTTTTTTTGTCTAAACTGGTGACTGGCTGGATATAGTAATTGGGGTTTCTATCAGCACTTTCTGATAGAAAAATGTTACTGCAAGTTTCATTGAATTTCTTCCTTTTCTTTTAGCTAGTGAGTTAATACTAGCAGGCTAGCACACTCACGCTGTCAGGCTTTGTGAGCTTGGTCGTGGTCTGTTTGTGCTGCAACCGTTTATTCTATGGAATCAGAATGGCCATCTGACCAAGCTGTCCAACTAATGTTAGCTAGCTAGTTAAAAAACAAGAAAGGGAAAAGGTTAGCCTCGACCCAGAGGTGTAAACATACTTTTAAGCTTCAGCATATTTAATGTGGAAACAGTATCTGCAAAGACAACCAAAAACCACCATCAAGAGCTTACATGCTTGAATTTTGGCCTTTGCATATGAGTGCCCTAGTACTGCACATGGCACTGTTAAAATTTCATGACAATTTCAGAAAGATGATTGCCGCAACTCAAAGTCATCCATTTTGGATTGAACTGGTTGGGCTGGCCTTGTTCGTAACAACCAATCAGAGGCTTGGTCATGAATCACAGCCTTCCGTGGAGTTCTCCCAGCTGCCATGTGCACAATAAGGTTAGCGAAACCTTCACACAATGTCCGTCTTGTCTGCCATTCAAACACTGTCTCCAGATTAAGTATGTTGAAGCCTTTTGTCCTAACCGGTTTGGACTGCCTTCCACCTATCTAGGTAACATCAGCTGGCTAGCTTGGTACCACTAGCTCTGTGTGAAGTCAGAATTCTTTCTAAGAATGCAATGTGATGGTGTGGGACATATCCATGATGGTGCATTATGTATGCAAAATGAAATCTTCTGCCAAATCAAACCTGACAGCTCTGACTGTTAATTAATATCACAGCATTATCAGGAATGCCATGTTTGAATATGTTTAACTCCTCTGACACAATAACAATTTTTGTTTCATTTTCAACCAAAACACCCTCAGCGCTGCAGCTATAAAAGAGTTGTTAGCTTATAAAAAAGAAAGCTTATCAAACACCAGCACTGCTTTTTCTCCCCTATTTAAGCCTCACATTGCATTGCTCTCATTTGTTCAACCACTCAAACTCAATTTCCTGTTAATCATTCAACAGTGCTCAAAACATCTAGCTTGTCAATCCTCTTGTCTGATGAGTCTCTCCCCATTAAGCACCTGTCTGTTTGATGCTGGGAATGAAAGTGAATTAAAAAAAAAAGACATGTCACATGTGGCTCAAATTGAATAGCTGTGCACCTAGCTGTGCCTACTGTCATGTCTCACCACAGCAAAACAAGCGCAAATCAACAAGTGCACGCAATTCTATTTACTCAGACTACACTAACATGGCAATTCATAGACATCTCAGAAACAACAGGAAATCTTTTTGTAATTTTCTCGTATATCGACTCAAACGTCACGAGAGTGAGCGACTCCGAGTGCATGCACTGCTCTTTTCCTTTCTTTTCTTATTCTTTTATTTGAGATTATAAAAGACAGCAATACTCAAAAAAATCTGTCAGCCTTGGAGATGTGAACTACACACAGGGTATTTTATTCAACTCAATGGACCATCCAGAAAATCAATTAAAGCATGTGCATAAGCCGAGTCTGAATACACAGAACTTTCCCCGAAAGTAAATATCAAAGTAACTTTTGAACTTTAGTCGCCAACTCTGTGCACAAATAATATGTAACTGTCTGATTAGTTACATGCATTTTGTATAACTGTTCAACTCTGAAAACAGTTAAATATTATACCTGTTCCACATGTGGCACTGCACTCTGTCCATGCTCCACGTTTCCACTGGAAATCAGAGACAGGGCTTCCATTGCTGGACTCAGTCAACATGTCTCTACTGATGGTGTACTGGTACCTCACGCCCGGGTTAGTTTCCTGAAAGAGCAGCTAAAGAACAGAGACACTAGATTATGTTGCATGTCAGGCCAAACCACACACAAGCACAAACAAACACAGGCCTCAAACCTACACAAAAGCAGGACAATGTAAACACCAGGCATTCTTGGTGTGGAGGAGGACTGGGAGACGATTCTGTTCCAGGCTGACGCTACCACAAATGCCACTGAGTGAAAACTGTAATTCAAGTGAATGCGAGTGACAAATAGATTCTCAAGCCATACAGTTGTTATAGTGCCTGCCATTTTCTTCAGAGAACAGAAAGGAGCAATCTTGACCAGAGATTAAAAATGTCACATGAGAGGCTCAAAACAAACCATTCCAACATGCTGGGATCTCAAAAGCCCATTAATTGTCTGAAAGCACACGAGGGAAGCTAATCTGAAGCATTCAGGATCTCTGAGCACATAGTGAAGAAGGATAATTACTGTGGTGTCAGGGCTCATATGTCAGACAAAGACACTCTCTCCCACACACACAGGCTGCTTGCCAAGCTTTTGCGGATACCTCCTCAGTGTGAGGTAGCCCTTTAAGTCAGGGTCCCTGCTCATCCCCCCCGTCTGGTCGGCAGCGCTAATGAATCCTGTCTGCACTTTCATGTGGCTGGAACACAGCATTCTGGCTTAAATTAAAGACACTTTTATCTCTTCCCTATAACGTTTTAAATATGGAGGGATTTCACATGCAAAACGCAAATCATTGTGGATCTGTCTGTCTAT